TTTTAAAGTTAATTGAAGTAGGGGGCGGGTGGGTGGGTATTGTAGGTTAGGGTAGGGTATGGGTAAGAATTTGAGGTAAAAAATAAACTATTTGAAAATACCATGGACAGGTACACAGACACTTTTAACATGCATTCACACACAAAACACAAAAACTATTAAATGTGTAAAGTAATAGGAATAGGCCAGCTTCGTAATGTCCTTTCGACTCGGCGAGTGTTACGTGTGTCCCCTGGACATCCGTTAAGTGAAAGTCCTGTGGTGGAGGCACTTTATAATTAAAAAAAAATAATATAAAAAGAGTCCAGTCCTCGTTGCGAGCCACACCCATTTTTTTAACGCGATAAGTGGTGATTTTTGCAAAAGGGGGGAGGGTGGACGTGTCACGGAGCGAACGGGGAACAGAAAAGAAAAGAGGGTTGGCCGCTGGCGGGGCCGGAACTATTTTTGTCAAATATCGAGTGTCAAATTAAAAAGAAAAAAGGAGCGTCGCGTGAAATCGCCTATTTCTGACTTCCGTGAAGTTTTCTCCCCGGGCCGCGAGGATAGAGTGAAAAATCGTCGTCACGCCTTTTTATCTGTTTGTCTTTTATTTTTTACTTCATGGAATTGCGCGAAAATATCGTGGAAGTGGTGACGGAGTGTCGGTGGGGCGATGGGGGGTAAAGGACGGTGAAGGGCGTGGTCGCGCGTACGATTTTGAAAATTATTGCCGATACGATGAATGAAAAAGTTCGGCCTATTTCATGGATTAATGTGAGGACGGTTTGTGCGCGCGAGCTGGGTGGGTTTAGATATGGGGGTGAATGGTATTGAAAATAATTAAAAAAAAAAAACATGAAAAATTTATCCGAGCACGGCTCAGCCACGCTATCGATAGCTACGACCACTACTACCTAGATTAACGCTATTTTGCCGCTGATCTAATTGTTTACTGTCACGTGTTGCTGTAAACCTAAACTAATGATATGACATATATTTTATTTATATATTATTATCTAATCGAACTGTATTTATTGTAAATAGTCACGATGTTTGCTATGATATGATATATATATATACATATAATATATATGTATATATATCTGTAACTGGATGGAAACCTGCCTGAAGTCCTCCGCAACAACCCCCGCCAGAAGAGAAAATGAGAATTTGAAAGAGAGTGTAAGAATTCTGTGAAAGAGAGTAATACGTGTGACTGGGTGTATGCGTGCAAGAGAGTGAATGGAAGCGCGAGGGATGATGGTGGGAAGAATACAAAAAAAAATATGAAAAACTGTAACAGGACATCGGTGAAAACAAAAAGTAAAAAAAAAGTAACGCACGAGAGGGATGATGGTGTATCACGTAAGTGTCGTTACCACAATGTCAATAAACTCGTATGTACGTTGCACTGTGAGTTCGACCATTTTGAGGGGGAAAAAATATGTAAGATTAACATGGCAGAAAATATTCAGCGTAACTAATGGTGCAATGTGTAGAGAAAGAGTGGGAGAGATTGGGAGAGCATGTGAGAATTCTTATTTTTTTTTTTTTTCTAAAAAAAAACGTCTACCGATTATACAGACAGTCACGACCCAACCAGCATGTCCAATAACTTACAATATTACTACCATAAGTATAATATATTAAGTGTTTTCAGAAAATATATGATCTATATATGATAATAAAAAAGAGAAAAACTTATTCATGCTTCAATCCCTTTGATAGGTCTTGAACCTTCTTCTTATTCCAAAAGCCAGGAAGAGACCAACTACCTGAAGCAAGTATAATTAATGTTTATTTTAATAACATGAGTTAAGTTGAGAGATTGTCATTGGAGTTATTATTAATTAGCATTGGGAGATGTATATGAATATTTAACTCACAAGTCCTATCGATATCAAAAGTGCACTGACAGACACCGAATGAATATGAGATTTTAATAATATTATGGAATCCTTCAAACAACCAGATTGGTACGATACCTCTTGAGACATGTTTAAGCACTATAAAAGTTTGTACAGGCTGGTTATAAGTTATTATGGATTTGTTTGTTACACATAACAACAAAATGAATTTAAGTTACCTTTTCAATAGTTGACGAACAACAACTGTGAGGAATTTGCATCCGATACTTATCCCAATCTCTGAAAGACCAAATGCCGCAGCAACGCAACTAAAAGACAATAATGTACAAGACTCAACTGATTGTTGTAAACAATTTTAGTATGTCCTGACTTACATATTTTTGTGTGTTATCCCATGCTTCTGTAACCCAATCTAAAGAGTGATAGTTGACAATGGTACTGGTCATGTCGTTATGAATTTTTTGTGTGATTTTGTCAAAAAAAGAAAAACTCAATATGGCACAGATGAAAATAAATGTTAAGGACAACACGTGGCACAGTATATACTGGAAATTAAAATATAATTAGACTTTAGGTTAGCTCATTCATTTCATGACATTGAATACTGACGACCGTTATAAATTTCCTTCGTTTCTTTACAAACGCCATGATTCCTATAAACGATACGCTACAGGCGAAAAGACCAACCAACAATAAAATAGTTACAAACAGTCTTTGGCTGAATAATCGAGACATCAGTTTACTATCAGACAGCATCCATACTGAAGTGATGGTAGCAGTTATTCCTGCAAGCTGAAACAATATATGTGGTAACTGCTGCATGAAAAGGTATGTACAAGTGAGACATTGATTTACAAATGCAGATCCGTTCAGAATTAAGAAAGAGAATTTGAGAAATTTTTTTGGAAGTCTCTTGTAGGTAAACTTGCGCACTGGTAGTCCCAAAAAATGAACCCTTTTTTCATGAGCGGATTCCTCACTATCGGTCACATCCTCGTCGACACTTTCAGTCTCCGTGTCGTCTTCGTTAGTACTTTCGGCACGTCGCATAATGTTATGCAAAAAGAATTTACGCAAACTCATGAAAGCGTCTTTTTACCAAACATCTGTTTACTATAATTTTTGTCGACGGTTCACTGGGACAACTTCATTCTAGTACTTCAATATTTGCAGAATATTTTTGTATGGCATTTGTCATTTTGAATTAATGAACTGCCCATGAAATGAGCCACATATGTAGTTTAATCTTAACCGTGCAGCATCACAGGTCATACCAAGTAGCAGTTTCATTATGGCAATATTAACATTTCGTAAACAATAATGTAACAAGGTGTTTTAAAGAAGGCACCTCGTGTTCATCCAGATTTTTTATTTAAAAAACTCCATGTATGGAACTGTTTTATTTTTTGTAACTATTAGTTCGCAAGTTATGTTGGAAAATGGTATAGGTATTATTTTTAAATGGCATGATCTATAGGTCTTCTTAAATTCTTCAGTATGATATGCGTATTTTTACTTTTTGCAAGTAAACCCGTCTTCTAATTAGCGTTACAGCGATACATAGCTTCTCCATTTCACTCCTCTTTCCTTGCTCCTTAGTACTTCAATCCAATAATTCCTAAGATACTTAAATGCTCATGCACTACAAGTATTTTCTAATACTAAAGCCATATAAATATAAAATAGAGGCTAAATCAAAATCTCGCAGAATATAAGTTTAGAACATACGTTTGGAATATTAAAATAATTAATTAAATCAATAAAGTAAAATATTAGCACATAGAAATCAGAAATTCTGGCCAAGCACATTTAGAAATACTGGAAGTTGCCCAAAATTGTGTGCGCGCACGTTCGTC